TTGTTAGTATTAATGTTCTTGATTTTGTCATTTTTACTAGTACTAATTCTATTGGTTTTATCTTTGTTATTAATAGTGTTCTTGTTTTTGTCATTATTATTATTATTATTATTATTATTATTATTATTATACTGATATTCTTGTTTTATCGTTGTCATTAATGTTGTTTTTTATCGTGATTATTTTGATTGTTCTTGTGTTCATTATTAGTATTCTAGTTTTTTTTTTATTGGTGTTATTATTATTATTATTATTTTGTTGATGTTGTTATTATTATTGTTGTCACTGCTGCTGTTGTTATTGTTATTATTTTTTTATTGACCTCTTCTTTGTAAAATTTTCCTCCTGCTTCCTTCCTTCCTTCCTTCCTTCCTTCCTTCCTTCCTTCCTTCTTTCCTCCCTTCCTCTTCCCTGTCCTCCCTCCCACTTTCATTCTCTCCTTCCTTCCCTACCTCCCTCCCTCCCTCCCTCCCTCCCTCCCTCCCTCCCTCCTCGCTCTCCTCTCTCCCTCTCCTCCTCTCCCTCCCTCCCTCCCCTCTCCTCCCCTCTCCCTCCCCTCTCCCTCCCCCTCTCCCTCCCCTCTCCCTTTCATCCTTCCCTCTCTCCTTCACGCCATCCCTCCCTTACCATCTCCCTGACACTCTCCCTCTTCTCCAACTTCAACCTGATTGGCTACCCTCCCTCCCTCCCTCCCTCCACCCCCCTGTCACATCGTTGACAACTATACCTTCTCTCCTTCCCTCCCCTTACCACCTCCCAGACAGCCATACACCCTCCCTCCCTCCCCCCTCCCTCTTCCCTCCCTCCCTCCTTCCCCTGCCTCCCTCTCATCAATGTCTCTTGTTCTTCCCTCAACGCATACCTACCCCTTCCCCTCCCCTTCCCCCTTCCCCCCACCCCTACCCTTCTACTACCTGTCGTCTTTCACCATATTACATATTCCTCCTTCCCTCTTTCCCTCTTTCCGTCCTTCCCTCCTACCATCCATTGCTCCTCCTCCTCCCTTCCCCTTTCCCTCTCCCTCTCATCAGTGACTCATGGGACTACCTTCTACACCTCCCCCTCCCCTCACCCCACTTTCTCTCGTCAGTATTCTATAGTATATTCTATCCTCCCCTCGTCTCCCCTCCATCCTTATCCCTCCACCCCTATCCTTCCCTCCCTATCCCCCGGACCTCTCTTGTCAGTGTCCCGTAGGACTTCCCTTTCTCCCCCCCACTCTCCCTTCTTCCCTTCCCTCATCCCCTCCCTAAATCCTTCCCGATATCTCTCTCTCCCCTCCTCTCCTCTCCTCTCCTCTCTCCTCCCCTTTTTCTCTCTGCCCCCCCCCTTCCTCCCTCCACCCTCTCGGCTTTCCTTCCTCCCTTTTTCCCCTTTCTCTCTCCCTTCCTCCCTCTCACCTCCTCTTCCCCCTCCTTCTCACTACTCCATTGCTCTGTCCCATTGAGAGGAGACCGGTTGTTGCACGCCCCGTAAAGCTATCTTGCAAGGGCCGTAATTGGTTTTGGTGTGTGCCTGCTTCCCTCCCTCCCTCCCTCCCTCCCTCCCTCCCTCCCTCCTTCTCACTCTCGATTCTCCTGCTGATTATCTTCCTGTTCCATCTTTCGCCTCCTCTTCGTCCTCTCCCCTTCCATCTACTTCCTTCTCCCTTATCTTCTTCCTGATCTTAAATTGTTTCTCCTCCTCCTCCTCCTCCTCCTCCTCCTCCTCCTCCTCCCCCCCCCTCCTCCACCCATTCCACCTCCTCCTCATCCTCATCCTCTCTCCTCCTCCTCCTCCTCCTCCACCCACTTCTCTTCCTCCTCCTCCTCCTCCTCTTCCTCCTCCACCTCCTCCACCCACATCTCCTCCTCCACCTCCTCCTCCTCCTCCTCCTCCTCCTCCTCCTCCTCCTCCTCCTCCTCCACCCCCCCATTCCCAGCCCCGTTATCCGATTCCCATTCCGAGATTCCGCTCCTCGTTATAATGATGTTGTTCGATTCGTGTGTTTTGATGGCGAGATCATGGTTTGTTATTTTCTTTACTGCTTTTTTTGTTGTTTATTATTGGCATTGTTCATGTTCCCTTTTCTCTTTTATCATCACCATCGTCGCCATAGATACTCCAGCCGTCACTTTGTACCGTAACAACATTATTAATCAATCCGCGAATATTGAACATCTTTATTAAAATCAATCTTCATTATACCTCGTTTTCGTTTTCTTCCTGCCATCCCCTTCCCCTACCCCCCCCCCCCCCCCCATCCATCCCCCCTACCCCCCTTCCCCTCCCCTCCCCTCCCCTCCCCTCCCCTCCCCTTCCCATCCGACCTTAACCCCTCCCTATCCTCCTCCCTGGGCGTGGTCTATGAGCCTGGCCCCGCCCCCGCAGCGTTTTGCAGACGTTGTTATCAGTCGTCGGGGTTGTTACGGATGCCGTTATCTGTAAAAGCAATTCGGTGGACTTGTTGTTGCTTTTCCGACTGGTTGCCGGGAGTATGCAGATTCTCCCCAAACCCCATTATGTTTTCCATTTTCCTGGCGGTTTAGCGTGTAGCAGATTGTAATCGTCAAGAATAACACGGTTGGTTTTGTTTTTTGTTTGTTTGTTTGTTGGTTGGTTGTTGTTGATTTCAGTTTTCTGTTTTTTTTTATTATTATTGTTGTTGTTTTTATTAGGTTGTCTTTAGGGGATGTGTTTTTTGTTCTTTCCGTCATAGGTTTCTTTTTTAACTTAATTATTTTGTTGTTGCTTTTAATCGAGTTAATTTGGTTGATTCCCTTTCGATTGGAAACCTACCTCCTTTCCATCCCCTACCCCCCCCCCCCCAAGGGTGCGCGCGGGTGTATGTGTGTCCGTGTTTGTTTGTTTGTCTGTCTTTCTGTCTGTCTGTTTTACTTTTTTATCCGTCATTTAAGTGAGACTTTCTGACTTTAACTACTCTCCGAGCCAGAGAAATAAATAAATAGATAAGTAAATAAACAAATAAAAATAAAAAAGTTAACAAATAAACCCGCGAGAGCCCACACAGCTCCCGCATAAATACTTCACAAACTTTGGAAACCTTGTGTGGAGGATTTCTGAGCTTTTTTATCTATTTATCTGTCCGTCTCTTTTTGTTTCTTTTGACTCTCTTTGTTTCTTTCTTTGTGTCTTTGCTTCTCGCATTTTCTCGTTGTTTCTCTCGTACTCTCTTTGTTTCTCCCTTTCTCCCTATCCCTCCTTCCCTCCCTCCCTCCCTCCCTTCCTCCCTCCCTTCCTCCCTCGTCCTTTCCTCTTATCCTGTATCTATCCCCACTTCTCCATATCGTCCTTTCTCTCCTCTCCCCCCTTCTTCTCCCCCCCCCTACCTCCCTCATAACCTCCTCCCCTGACTTCTTACTTATCCCTCATCCCTCATCCCTCATCCCTCCTGATCTCCGACTTCGTTCCCTTACCTATCTCCCTTATTCTATACCTCATATGCCTCTCCCCTCTGTCCCTTATTCCCTCCCCCCCCTTCCCCTTTCTCTTTCTCTTGGCGTACTCATAACCCTTTCCCCATCCCATTACCCATTCGACTTACCCATTCCCTTATCCCTTAGTCATTCCCCCCCCCCTCCCCTTTGCCCATTCCCCATTCCTATCCGCATCCCCCTTGCCCAATCCTCTTCCTTTATCCCATCCCCTTCGCCCTACCCTATGGCCTATCCTTACCCCATCCCCTACCCTCATTCCTTACCCCATTCCCCTACCCCATTCCCCTACCCTACCCCCATTCCCGACCCCTACCCCCATTCCCCTTACCCCATTCCCCTTCCCCCCCATCCCCTCCCCCCAATCTTGCAACCCCCTCCCCTCCCCCACCCCACCCCAGTGCCCTCCCCCAATCTTGCAACCCCCTCCCCTCCCCGACCCCACCTCCCCTTTTCATCCTTACAGCCCACTGCAAATGCCAAAGTGAATTCAAACCTCCCTGTGTGTGGAGCTGGAGGGGTTGGTATCATTAGGCTGCGTAATGCCACAACCCTGGGGCGTCGCGATGGTCGAAAATCCCCTTGTGGAAACGCGGTGGGGTCGTCCTTAGGCGCGTAAGAGGGTTATCCTTACGTAAGCCTAAGATTAAAGAATTCGAAACAAAGGGGGGGGGGAGGCTGAGAGTTGGAAATAGAGAGCGAGAGAGAGAGAATGAGAGAGAGAGAGAGAGAGAGAGAGAGAGAGAGAGAGAGAGAGAGAGAGAGAGAGAGAGAGAGAGAGAGAGAGAGAGGAGAGAGAGAGAGAGAGAGTAGGGGAGAGATAGAGAAGAGGGGGGCAGGGGAGAAACAGAGAGGAAGGGGTGGAAGGAAGAAGAAGCGAAAAGAAAATAATCAGACGAGGGAAAGAAGGAAAGAAAAAGACAAGAGAGCAAATGAGAGAGAAAAGACGTGGAGAAGAAGAAGAAACGCTGAAATTTCACTCTCGGGCCGGATGAAACCACAGCGGAAGAACTTGAGAGAAGAGAGAGACTGCGCGCAAATAATGAAAGAGAGAGAGAGAGAGAGAGAGAGAGAGAGAGAGAGAGAGAGAGAGAGAGAGAGAGAGAGAGAGAGAGAGAGAGAGAGAGAAAGAGAAAAAGAAAGGGAAACAGTCTATGAAAAGGAAGATCCAGAGAGAGAGAGGGGGGGGGGCAGACACAGAAAAAAAGGAAGATCCAGAGAGAGACAGATCGGAAGAGACAAAGAGAACGACAAATACGGACAGACATAGAAAGAGAATGAGAAGAGACAAACGAACAGACTGCGAGGGAAGAAAGGAAGGGAGATAAGGAAGGAGAAGCGATAGAAGAGGAAGGACGTGAACTGGGCGGATGGGCGGGCAGAGGAAATCTGTCGATAAGGATGCGTGTCGTGTAGAAATGAAGGAGAGAGAGAGAAAAGAAGAGGAGAGAGAGAAAAGAAGAGGAGAGAGAGAGAAAGAATGAGAGAAACGGAAGACAGAAAAAATAAAGGGGAAGCAACGCGAAAGGGGGACTGGAATAATGAGACTAAAGAAGAGGGAGGAGACGAGAGAAAACCGAAAGAAGAGGGAGTAGTAGGGAGAGAGAGAGAGAGAGAGAAAAAAAAAAAAAAAAAAAAAAAAAAAAAAAAAAGAGAGAGAGAGAGAGAGAGAGAGAGAAGGACTGGACTCTTAGAAACAAGGAAAAAGTGTGCAAGCATAGAAGAGAAAAGCGAAAGAGAGAAAAAAAAACAGGAGAGTTGAAGAATTCATTGGCTCACATGTAGTAAAGGAAATGAATGGTGAATGAGCAGCGCCACAAAGGGATGTTGCTGGCACGTTTTGGTGTTTTTATTTTCATCAGAATTGTCGTTGTGAAATGCTAATGAAGAGATGACATTGAAACACCTTAGTTATACTTTTTTATCTTTTATTTATTCATTATTTATTTATTTATTATTATTATTTTTTATTATTATTATTTTTTTTGTAGTTCGTTCTCAGTAATGCGATTTTTTCACAAAATGCTGGATAGAGGGATGATCAAGAAAGAGAGATAGAAAGAAAGATATGAATGATAAAGATGCAAGGGATAGAAGCAAGGGGAAGGAAGGAGAAGGCGCAAGAAAAGAAGAGAAAGAGGCCAGGGAAGGCGAAGGTGCGAGGAAAGAAAAAAAGGAGAGAGAGAGGAAGGGGGAGAAAAATAAGATAAGGATAGAGGCAAAAAGACGAAAGAGGGAAAGCTAGCAATATCTCCTGGAAACGCGACTGGCAAAAAAAAAAAAAAAAAAAAAAAAAAAAAAAAGGAATCCAGCAAACTGAGTAAAGGAGACGGAAGGAAAATTGAATAGAGATCAAAGGAAAGCGGAGAAAAAAAAAAACAGGGGAGAGGGGGGCGAAGAGTAAAGTAAGACCCCACCAAAAAAATAAAAAGAGAAATAAAGCAAAGAGAGAGAGAAAACGAAGCATTTTGAGAAAGCTATCCGGCGAGCTGGTTCTATGATGTCCCGGTTCATTTGAGGGAACCCCTTGTCCTTGCTTAATCCAGCGCACTCCACGCCGGCGTTATAATGAACGCAGGTCAGAGCACGAAGGGATTTAGGTACTTGCAGGTCGGTCGGTCGGTCGGTCGGGGGGAGGGAGGGGGGGGGAGATGCAGCCGGTTATCAGCCTGCGCGACCTGTTACGAAGCCTATCCGGGGAGGGGCGGGGAAGGGGGGGGGCAAGGATGGGCGTTTCTTCTTTTGCTTTTTCTTCTCTCTCTCTCTCTCTCTCTCTCTCTCTCTCTCTCTCTCTCTCTCTCTCTCTCTCTCTCTCTCTCTCTCTCTCTCTCTCTCTCTCTCTCTCTCTCTCCCCCTCCCTCCCTCCCTCCCTCTCCCTTTCCCTTTCCCTTTCCCTCTCTCACTCTCATTCTCTCTCTCTCATTCTCTCTCTCTCTCTCTCTCTCTCTCTCTCTCTCTCTCTCTCTCTCTCTCTCTCATTCTCTCTCTCTCTCTTTCTTAGCGTTCTTTCCCTCTTCTCATCTCGTCTCCTAAATCTTTTGTACGTTTAAACGGATGTTCTATTAAACCCATCCAGTCCTCTCTCCCCTTTCGTAGACGCCGACACACGTATATATTATCAATATCTCATTCTGCCTTCCTCCCAAACCGCCATCAATATTTCCCTTCCCTCGCTCGCCCTCCCCCCGCCCCCCCCCTCGTTCCCCCTGCCGTAAACCATGCTACTCCACGTCACCCAAGCAACAGCACGGTGTAGGGGCCGTGTCCTTCGCTATCGGACTGCAGCTTTCGTTATTCTTCTTTATCGTGTGTTCTCGCAGTCTCTTGGTCCGATTGTGTGTGGGGGGGTGGGGTGGGGGTAGGGGGGAAGCTTCTGTTGTCAATTTTTTTTTTTTTTTTTTTTTTTTTTTTTTTTTTTTCATTCTCTTTTTTTCGTCTCCTCCTCTTCCTCCTCCTCCTCCATAGCATCGTCGTCATCATCGCCATCATTATCATTATCAATCATTATGATCATCATCCTCATTATTCTCCTTCTGCCTTTTCACCTTTTTTCCTCCTTCTCCTCGTTGTCGTCGTCCTCTACCTCCTCCTCCTCGGCCTCGTCCTCTTCCTTCTTCCTCTTCTTCTCCCCCTCCTTCTGCTCCTCCTCCTCTTTCCCCCCTTCCTCCTCCCCTTCCTCCTCCTCTTCCCCCCTTCTCCTCCTCCTTCCTCCTCCTCCGCCTCCCTCCTCCTCCTCCTCCCCCCCCCCTCCTCCTCCCTCCCCCCTCCTCCTCCTCCCCTCCTCCTCCTCCCCTCCTCCTCCCCTCCTCCTCCTCCTCCTCCCCCCCTCCTCCCCCCTCCTCCTCCTCCCCTTCCTCCCCCCTCCTCCTCCCCTTCCTCCTCCTCCCCTCCTCTTCCTCCCCCTTCCCCTCCCTCCCCCTCCCTCCCTCTCCCCTCCTCCTCCCCTCCTCCTCTTGTTCTCCATCAATGCTCCTGCTTTTCCATCATGCTGTTTTATCACCTCTCGGATGGTTCTTTCTCAACGATAGCTCTTTGAAGGTCCCGAACCCCTGCTCTGTCGCCAGTG